AACAGACCTGAAACAAGTATGATACACCACCGTGTATGTCAAATCTTGCCCCCAAAATTGCAGGAATATAATACGTTCCAGCTCAAAATAACTCCAAGTTTGTTATAAACCTCCAGATGATCAATTTTAGTAACCACTTTTTGAAGAACCATCTCCTTCATCAAGCTTTAATGCGCCAGGATCAAGAGGAATAGTACCAACTCTTAGGAAACTGGAAGATTCAGCAAATCCATTTACTTTTATAGGCACCGACCCTACAGTGACAATTTCAAGAGGTAGAGCATTGGCAGCCACTACTGCAGCATTAGCAGAGGGTTTAGATTCTTCTCCCTTTGAGTTTATAGTGAGTGAACCAATATTTAATGCAGACACAACATCATCTTTGGCGTCAACTGCAATTTGTTCTGCTGTTTTGTTCATCACAGTTGTATCAGCTGTCTTGCAAACTGTAGAAACCATATCAGCCGACGAGGTAGCCATTATCTTTAACAAGACAGAATCACCAGGTTCAACAAGTTTCTGATCTTGTGAAGGCAGGCCAACTAAATGTTTCTTGTTAGCGGTATCCATTTGAGGCACCTGGATTGGACTCTTCAAGCTTTTAATGAGCAGCCTTGCTTTCTCTTCCTGCAAGATTTTCTGCCGATTTTCATAGTATGCGAAGTCATCAAGTAAAGAGGTCTTAAATGGGTGGTTCTTAAATATTTTGAGCATCTCCAGTCCTTGTTTATACAGTACCTGTGATTCAGAAAAGAAAATTACGTAAGAGAAGTTATCCATGTCCAAATCCAGATGGCAGTTGAATCCCATCATAATCAAGTTAAGATATTTAGCCTATTTAACAAGAATAAAGTAGAAACTATAGGCGTACCTCCTGAGTATCCCTGCTGTTAGTCACTGGTCTATCCTCATTGTTCTCTAATATGATGTGCCTAAAATGACTGTTAGGAACATCTTTTATCATGTGCCACTTGACAGGGAAGCTCCCACTCCACTTATCTTGCTGCCAAAAATTCATATCCTTCTGGAAGTCCACTGGACCAATCATCTCAGCAACACCACAGAATTGCCCACTTGCATTAACCTGCATAGACAAGCGAGATATTAGCAAATAGAAACACAAGAATTATCAAGAGCACTTTCCATTTAACTGTTAAGACAGATGCCTATTAAATGCCAATAGGTACAGAACTCACAGAAAAGAGAAGGAAGATGGGGCAACTGGCAGGTTTTCCAGAGGCTATTTTCTGCACATCTTCATAAGCAGCCTCAAGTTTCTTGTTTCCATGGGAAGTAGAAGACCAGACGTTGTATTTGATGCTTTTGTGCACATCATCCTCACTATATGATTTTATCACAAAAAACTTTGCTTTCACATAGTCTACTGGGAAATCATCTCTATTGAATTGGTCAGTGCAGATAATGATGTTTCCTTCAGTATCACTACCTCCTGCTTTGGTGGTATAAGCTTTAACAGAAAGTTGATTTTTTAATCTATTGGTTCTAGGGCCTCGATTCTGTTCACTCAAAATATCTGGCATGCTGTTTGCGTCATTCAGAGCTTTCCCAGCATTGATTCTTGGTTGAAGCTTATCAAGCACAACCCCTCTGGTATTAAATCCAAAATTTGATATACTAGTACTGGCAGGAAGTTCTGGCTTCAATTTGTTAGAATGAGATAGAAGTTCCCCACCAGAAATTACATTGGAAGTTTGAATTGAACCAGCAGGACTTCTACCCTGCGAACACAGGTAACAGATCAAAGATCAAAATCTACACCTAAGAATATGTGGCAAGCTTTAGACTGAGATTAGACAAGAGTACAATACAAATGACTGCAGTGACTACCCAAATATGCACATGTATCATCCAAACAATTAGATCCCCAGCCATCAAAACATAGACTTAAAGATGAACTCGAGAAACAAAAAGGGAACTGAGAAAATGTACCTGATGACCATATGTTGAAGCTGGAGAATAACCAGTAGAAACACTTCCACGAACGGCAGATTGTCTACTTGGTCCATCTCCCCTGATCAAGGAATTTGTTCGATCTGAAGCAGATTTAAGAGAGTTTCTAGGGAGGGCAGAAGCAGGGTTTTGTTTCAAACCTTTACCATCAGGCCTGTTAGCAACTGATGTGTGAAAATCTAATGTGTTGGGAGAACCATTTGGGATCATGTCTGGTTGAATCATAACAGGAACGATAGCAGGTGAAGTAACAGGGTTTTGGTAAGAAGGAATGGTGTAATACTGTTGTGCCCCTACAAATGGGCCATCAGTCATCACAGCACCAGGTATATATGGATTGTATGGGTTGTATGAAGACTGTGCATATCCATAGCTAGGTGTGTAATATACATAAGGCATCCTTTCAGATTGGGCACTCTGAAACAAGTAAGGTACAGTATAAGCAAAGTTACAAATGATTAAAGATAGCGACATATTTTGCATGGTTCTGTTTGAAAATGTTAGAAAAAGAGTTTACTGACCGCATATTGGACATCTGGACCATCTGTGCTAAAAATAGTAGGGTGGTCCTCCCATTCAATGGGTGTTTCAAAACCTGACCACATTCAACAAACAATGTAGACATTAGAAACTATGTAGATTAGATAATACAAGTATCATCCAAATTCTTGAACTTAATATCTACTAAATTTACCTGTACAATAATATCCGTAATTGGTGGCAGTAGGATAATACAATCCCTGATCTACTATAAACTCAGGGGCTCCTTCCTGATGCATGGTTTCAACTTGCTCTAGAAGTGGAGTCGTCAAATGCAAGTTAGGTTCAGCTCCATGAATCTATATGTTCAAAAACACAAAAACATTATAAACACACTACAACTACAGGAATCGGAAACAAGAGACATACAAAATAATAAAATAACAAAATCACCAAATAACAATTTCCATACTCATTAAACAATCGGAGAACGAGAAAACATACCATGTAAGTTCCTGCATTTCCATGATCGGAGGGATTATACATTTCTATTCCAAGACCACCACCCCTGTAGAAGAAAACATTGAACAAATTTTAAGAATCCTCTACAGGTAAGAAAAAGCACATCAGGGAATCTCTTACTCCCAACCAAAAAGAAATTTAAAAGGACATATTAAAAAAAAAAGAATCATAATCCCACATGACAAATTGGCTATGAGAATATCGTATAGCTTCTATTTAAGTTAAAAGCACAATGCAAATTCACAATATCCACAGAAGAAAACTAACTAGGAATTCTAAAATAAAGGTGAGAACTATAAAATTAGCACATGAACTTGAAGACTAAAATCTATGTCTAAAATCCAAGTATAACCGCAATCTACACTCTCATGCTCACGAATCTCCAAACAACTTACAAATCCAACAAAAAGCAGAACTTGGATTATTTAACTCATACTCTGATATTCACCTAAATCCAACAAAATACAGCTCACTAAAGCAAAATCGAAAAGAAGAGCTCCGAAAAAGAACAGATACTTCAAATCAAATCTCATAAGAATAGCACGAAACAGCTCGAATAGATCTATAAGACAGTAATTCGAAGTTCTAAACGTCTGAGCTATACTACAATGACGAAACACCTCAATTAAAGCAAATCAACTCAGGATGCGAAGAAAGGAAAGGTAAAATACAAGGAAAGAGAGTGTTTCTGTACCAGAAAACTGGAGAATCAAGCCATGATTGAGCAGAGAAAGCTCTTCGAGAGAGAATTCTTGCAATTTGTGAAGGGGAGAACGAGGGTTCTGCAAATTGCACGGGGTGGAAGAAGAAGGCAAACGAAGAAAGCAAGCTCGCTAGTGCTGGTACGGCTGGGGCTTAAAAGGAGAGAAACCAGAAACAAAAACTTAATGACGGTACTGGTCCTGATTATTTTCATTAATTTCGATACTGCCATTTAAATCAAACGCCGTCGCCTGGTATCCTTAACCAGAGAACCCAACACCAGAAGTTCTAATCTAACGGCGTACACACTAGGCTTCTCATGACAGGCCAATTGCGTTTTGCGACGCAGCTTTGTTAATTGTGATAATATTGTTGGTCGATACTGTTAATCTGTCACCGACATTTTCATCGAGGAATCATGTTTGAGAAACTGAAATCAATTAAAGGTTATACTTCTCAATTACTTAAATAATTTAATAATAATATTTTTTTTATTAAAAATAAAAATTTTAAATTTTTATATTATTACATAACTAATTTTTTATTAAAAAACTCACTTCAATATCAAAAAATAATTTTAGTGTGAAATGTTTGATGTAAAAAAAA